GAAGAGAGAAGGAAAAATGGCCAGCCCCAACCTGGTAACGTCTTGTCAACTGATTCCACAGGGCTTTGTAATATGGTAGCAACTGCTATTCCAGCCATGAGTCCCAGAGATCGCTATATGTCCGCTTATAAGTTGTACTGTCCTACTTGCTTTTCATAAGCATGCATAGTGCCTTCTGAAGGGAAGCAGGTGGTTTTGTTGTATTATATTTTCTGAACTAAATCTGAGGGGCCCCAGATATATACACCACCTTATATATCCTCCTGCTTTATGAAATAATTTCATGGAAATTGAGCATCAGAGGGATATACTTATGGTTTGGCCTAATGCACTTACCTCACAGCTCAACCTCTTCCTTTGATTTCCAGACGCTACCATCACTCACAGCGCCCATGAACAGAAGATGGAATATGTCCAACCAGCACCTGACAACGTGTTGTTGACACTTCAGCCAGGACTTAATAATATGGCAGCCACTGGTATTTCATCCATGAGTACCAGGGATCTGGGTAAGTTTGTTTGTTAGTATTACTGTCCTACTTGGTTTCCATATGCATGTAAAGTGTCAAAACAGGTAGGAGGTGGTTGTGTTATACTATGTTTCCAGGCCTCAATTTCAGGGGTCTCAGATGGCAACCTGGTATATCCTCTGCTTTGTGACATAATTTCCTAGAAACTGAGCACAGATACACCTGTGGAGTTACCATAATACACTTACAGCTCTTCATTTGGTTTCCAGGTGCTAGCAAAACTTATAATGTCCTTAAGGAGAAGATGGAAAAGGGCGAACCCCAACATGGCAACATCTCATCAACTGCTCTAATAGGACTTACTAATGTGGCAGGAGCTGCTATTCCAGCCATGAGTACCGATGGTCTGTGTATGTTCACTTTTTAGTTGGATTTTCCTACTTTGTTTCCATATGCATGTATATTGTCAGGAAGGAGAGATGGAGATCTTGTTGTATTATCTTTCTTGATATCAGTTTGAGGGGTCCCAGATGCCGCTCATGTCATCTTGATTTGTGAAAAAATTTCTCAGGAGCTGAGCATCAGAGGGATATACCTGTGGGGGCGGCATAATGCACCTACTCCTATCTTGACCTCTTCATTTGTTTTCCAGATGCCACCGTCAGTCACAATGTCCATGAACAGAGGATGGAAAATGACCAACCGCAACAGGAAAACGTCTGGCCAAATATTCTCGCATGGTTTATTAATATGGCAGGAGCTGGTATTCCAGCAATGAGTACCAGGGATCTGTGTATGTTCATTTTTTACTTGTACTGTCCTCCTTGGTTTCCATATGCAGGCATAGTGCCATGAAGGGAAGAAGGTTGTTTTGTGAATTGTCTTTCTTGGCCTCAATTTGAGGAGCCGCAGATCATCATTTGATGTGTTCTTTTGCTATTTGGGATAATTTCCCAGAAACTGATCATCAGTGGGATATACCGGTGGCATTGACGTAATTCACTTACTTCAAGCTCAAAATCTTCCTTTGGTTTCCAGATGATACCATCTCTCACAATGTACATGAAGAGAAGATGGAAAATGGCCCATCCCAAACTGGTAATCTCATGTCACCTGTTCCACCACTGCTTGGTCTTATGGTAGCAGCTGCTCTTCCATGCATGAGTACCAGGGATCTGTGTATGTCTCTTAATTAGTTGTAGTGTCATCACTGGTTTCCATATGATTGCATATTTCATGAAAGGTAGAAGGTGGTTTTATAGCATATACTTTGGTGGGATCAATTGGAGGGTTCTCACAGGGCCACCTGGCATATCCTCCTCTGCTTTATTAGATAATTTCCTAGAAACTGAGCGTCAGAGAGATAGACCTATAGGGCTGATATAATGCACTTAGCTCACAGGTGAAACTCTTCATGTGGTTTGCAGGTTTTACCATTGCTCAAAATGTCTGTGAAGAAAAGATGAAAAGTGACAAAACAACACCTCATGAATTCTTGTCAACTATTACAGCAGGGCTTAGGAACTTCACAGAAGCAGGTATTCAACCCCTGAGTACCAGGGATCTCTGCATATTCATTTACTAACTACGTTGTGCTACTTGGTTTCCATAAACATGCAGTATCATGCAGGAAAAAAGGTGCTTTGGTTTTATTATCTTTTCCGACCTAAACTTGAAGGGTCTCAGATCGCCACCTGATACAGCCTCTTGTGTGATGGAACAATTGCTTAAATCTCTTTGTCAGAAAAACATACATGTGGCAGTGACATAAGCCCTTACCTCACAGCTCAACCACTTCATTCGGTTTCCAGATGCTGCAGTCACTCACAATATCCCTGAAGCGAAGGTAAATAATGGCCAACTAGCACCTCACAACGTCTCGTCTGCTGCTCCAGCAGGTCTTGGTAATATGGCGGCAGCTGGAATTTCATCCACGAGGACCAGAGGTCTGTGTATGTCTGCTTCTTAGTTGTACTGTCCTACTTGGTTTCCCTAAGGAGGCATAGTTTGATGAATGCTACAAGTTAATTTTGTTGTATGTACTTTCCTAGCCTCAATTTGAGGGGTATCAGATGTTTCACTTGGCATATTCACCCCTGGATTCTTTGATAATTTCCTAGAAAGTGAGGATCAGAGGGATATACCTCTGGGGTTGAATAATGTACTTACCTCACAGCTCAACCTCTTCATTTGGTTTTCAGGTGCTACTGTCACTCAAAATGTCCACAAAGAGAAGATGAGAAATACACAACCAACACCTAATAACGTCTTATCAACTGTTCTACCAGAACATCTTTATTTGGCAACAGCTGGTCTCCCAGCCATGAGCACCAGGGGTCAGTGTATGTTTGCTTATTAATTTATACTATCCTACTTCGTTTTCATAGGCATGCCTAGTGTCCTGAATGGGAGAAGGTGGTTTTGTTGTGTTCTCATTCATGAGCTGCATTTGAATGTTCTCAGATCACCATCTAGCATATCCTCTTCAGCTTTATGAAATAGTTTTCTAGAAACTGAGTATCAGGAGGATATGCCTGTAGAGTTGACATAGTACACATAACTCAAAACTGAACCTCCTGATTTCCTTTCCAGATTCTACCATCACTCACAATGTCCGTGAGGAGAAGATTAAAAATGCCCAAACGGCACCCACTGATGTCTTCTCAGGTATTCCACCAGCACGTATTAATATGGCAGCAGCTGGTGTTTCTTCCATGAGTACCAGGGATCAGTGTAAGTTTGCTCACTTGGCGTACTGTCCTACTTGTTTTCTATATGCATGTGTAGTGTCATGAGGGAAGAATACAGTGTTGTTGTACTATCTTTACTGGCCTCAACTTTACGGTTCTCAGACTGCTACTTGGTATGTCTTTTTTCTTTATGAGATAATTTCCTCGATACCGAGCATCCGAGCGGTATGCCTGTGTGGTTGACATAATGCATGAAACACACAGCTCAACCACTTCATTTGATTTCCAGATGCTGCAGTCACTCATGCAATCCTTGAAGAGAAGATAAATAACGGCCAATCAGCACCTGATAACCTCTTGTCAACTGCTCCACCAGGTCTTGCTAATATGGCAGCAGCTGGACTTTCATCTACGAGGACCAGAGATCTGTGTATGTCTGCTTCTTAGTTGTACCGTCCTACTTGGTTTCCCTAAGGAGGCATTGTTTGATGAATGCTACAAGTTAATTTTCTTGGATATAGTTTCCTAGCATCAATTTGAGGGGTATCACGGCTACGTGACATATCAACCCCTGGATTTTTTATAATTTCCTAGAAAGTGAGGATCAGAGGGATATACCTCTGGGGTTGACACACTGCACTTCCGTCACAGCTCAGCCTCTGTATTTGGTTTTCAGATGCTACCATCATTCAAAATGTCTGCAAAGAGAAGATGGAAAATAACCAACCAACATCTAATACGGTCTTGTCAACTGTTCTCCAAGGACTTCCTTATTTGGCAACAGCTGGTCCCCCAGCCATGAGCGCCAGGGATCACTGTATGTTTGCTTATTCATTTGGACTATCCTACCTGGTTTTCATAGGCATGCCTAGTGTCCTGAAAGGGAGAAGGTGATTTTGTTGTATTGTCGTTCGTGAGCTGCATTTGAGTGTTCTCAGATCGCCACCTGGCATATCCTCTCTGGCTTCCTGAAATAGTTTTCTAGAAAGTGAGTATCAGGAAAATATACCTGTGGGGTTAACATAATGCACATAACTCAAACTGAACCCCTTTATTTAATTTCCAGATGGTATGATCTTTCACAATGTTTGTGAGAAGAAGATTAAAAATGCCCAAGCAGTACCCGATAAAACCTTCCCAGCTAGTTCCCCAGCACTTATTAATATGGCAGCAGCTGTTGTGTCATCCATGAGCAACAGGGATCAGTGTACCTTTGAGCAATTGGTTTACTATCCGACTAGGTTTCCATATGCGTGCATAGTGTCATGAGGGAAGAATGTAGTTTTGTTGTACTATCTTTCCTGGCCTGAATCTTAAGTTTCTCAGAGTGCTACTTGGTAGGTCCCACTTCTTTATGAGATAGTTTCCTGGATACAGAGCATCAGAGGGGTATGCTGTGGTTGACATAATGCACTTACCTCACAGCCCAGCCTTTTTTGTTGGTTTCCAGATGCTGCCGTCACTCACAATGTCCGTGAAGCGAAGATAAATAACGGCCAACTAGCACCTGACAACGTCTTGTCAGCTGCTCCACCAAGTCTTGGTAATGTGGCAGCGGCTGGAATGTCATCCACGAGAACCACAGGTCTGTGTAGATCTGCTTCTTAGTTGTACTGTCCGACTTGATTTCCCTAAGGATGCATAGATCGATGTATGCTACAGGTTAATTTTGTCATATACACGTTCCTAGCGTCAATTTGAGGGGTATCAGATAGCCACATGGCATATGCAACCCTGCTGTCTTTGATAATTTCCTAGAAACTGAGGATCAGACGGACATATCTCTGTGGTTGACATAATGTACTTACCTCACAGCTCAACCTCATCGTTTGGTTTTCAGATGCTACCGTCACTCAAAATGTCCGCAAAGAGAAGATGGAAAATAACCAACCAACACTTAATAACGTCTTGTCAACTGTTCTCCAAGGACTTCCTTATTTGGCAACAGCTGGTCTCCCAGCCATGAGCACCAGGCATCAGTGTATGTTTGCTTATTCATTTGGACTATCCTACTTGGTTTTCATAGGCATGCCTAGTGTCCTGAACGGGAGAAGGTGATTTTATTGTATTATCTTCAGTGAGCTGCATTTGAGTGTTCTCAGATCGCCATCTGGCATATCCTCTTCAACTTTTTGAAATCGTTTTCTAGAAACTGAGTATCAGGAGGATATACCTGTAGAGTTGACATAGTACACATAACGCAAGACTGAACCTCCTGATTTCATTTCCAGATTCTACCACCACTCACAATGTCCATGAGGAGATGATTAAAAATGCCCAAACGGCACCCAAGAATGTTTTCTCAGCTATTCCACCAGCACATATTAATATGGCAGCAGCGGGTGTTTCATCCATGAGTACCAGGGATCAGTGTAAGTTTGTTCACTTGGCGTACTGTCCTACTTGATTTCTATATGCATGCGTAGTGTCATGAGGGAAGAATACAGTGTTGTTGTACTATCTTTACTGGCCTCAAATTTACGGTTCCCAGACTGCTACTTCGTATGTCCTTCCTCTTTATGAGATAATTTCCTCGATTCTGAGCATCCGAGGGGTATGCCTGTGCGGTTGACTTAATGCACATAACGCACAGCTCAACGACTCCATTTGGTTTCCAGATGCTGCGGTCACTCACAACGTCCGTGAAGCGATGATAAATAACGGCCAACGAGCACTTTACAACATCTTTTCAACTGCTCCACCAGGTCTTGGTCATAGGGCAGCAGCTGGAATTTCATCCACGAGGACCAGAGGTGTGTGTATGTATGCCTCTTAGTTTTCCTGTCCTACTTGGTTTCCCTAAACAGGCATAGTGTGATGAATACTACAAATTAATTTTGTTGTATATACTTTCCAAGCCTCAATTTTAGGGGCATCTTATGCACATTTAGCATATTCACCCCTGCTGGCTTTATGAAATAGTTTTCATATCCTCTCTGGCTTCATGAAATAGTTTTCTAGAACGTGAACACCAGGAGGATATACCTGTGGGGTTAACATAATGCACATACCTCAACACTGAACCCCTTCATTTCATTTCCATATGGTGCGATCACTCACAATGTTTGTGAGGGAAGATTAAAAATGCCCATGCAGCACTCAATGAAACCTTCCCAGCTAGTCCCCCAGCACTTATTAATATGGCAGCAGCTGTTGTGTCATCCATGAGCACCAGGGATCAGTGTACCTTTGTGCAATTGGTTTACAATCCTACTAGGTTTCCATGTGCGTGCATAGTGTCATGAGGGAAGAATGTAGTTTTTTGTACTATCTTTTCTTTTTTTTAAATTTTTTATTGGATTTTAGGTTTTGGGGTACATGAGCAGAGCATGGAAGACAGTTGAGTAGGAACACACATGGCAGTGTGCTTTTCTTTCCTTCTCCCCTTCACCCACATTTGGCATTTCTCCCCAGGCTATCCCTCCCCACCTCCCCCTCCCACTGGCCCTCCCCTTTTCCTCCCAATAGACCCCAGTGTTTAGTACTCCCCTTTCTGTGTCCATGTGTTCTCATTTTTCATCACCCGCCTATGAGTGAGAATATGCGGTGTTTCATTTTCTGTTCTTGTGTCAGTTTGCTGAGGATGACGTTCCCCAGATTCATCCATGTACCTACAAACGATACAAACTCATCATTTCTGTTTGCTGCATAATATTCCATGGTGTATATGTGCCACATTTTTCCAATCCAGTCTATTATCAATGGGCATTTGGGTTGATTCCAGGTCTTTGCTATTGTAAACAGTGCTGCAATGAACACTCGTGTACATGTGTCCTTATAGTAGAACGATTTATAGTCTTTTGGATATATACCCAGTAATGGGATTGCTGGGTCAAATGGAATTTCTATTTCTAAGGCCTTGAGGAATCGCCACACTGTCTTCCACAATGGTTGAACTAATTTACACTCCCACCAACAGTGTAAAAGTGTTCCTTTTTCTCCACACCCTCTCCAGCATCTGTTGTCTCCAGATTTTTTAATGATCGCCATTCTAACTGGCGTGACATGGTATCTCAATGTGGTTTTGATTTGCATCTCTCTGATGACCAGTGCCGATGAGCATTTTTTCATATGATTGTTGGCCTCATATATGTCTAGTTTCGTAAAGTCTCTGTTCATATCCTTTGCCCACTTTTGAATGGGCTTGTTTGTTTTTTTCCTGTAAATCCGTTTGAGTTCTTTGTAAATTCTGGATATCAGCCCTTTGTCAGATGGGTAAACTGCAAAAATTTTTTCCCATTCTGTTGGTTGCTGATCCACTCTAGTGACTGTTTCTTTTGCCGTGCAGAAGCTGTGGAGTTTCATTAGGTCCCATTTGTCTATTTTGTCTTTTGTTGCCCATGCTTTTGGTGTTTTGTTCATAAACTCCTTGCCTATTCCTATGTCCTGGATAGTTTTGCCTCGTGGCCTCAATCTTAAGCTTCTCAGACTGCTACTTGGTATGTCCTTCTTCTTTATGAGATAATGTCCTAGATACTGAGCATCAGAGGGATATGCCTGTGACGTTCACAGGATGCACTTACCTCACAGCCCAGCCATTTCTGTTGGTTTCCAGATGCTGCAGTCACTCACAATATCCATGAAGTAAAGATAAATAACATCCAACTAGCAACTGACAACGTGTTGTCAGCTGCTCCACCAGGTCTTGGTAATATGGCAGCAGCTGGAATTTCATCCAGGAGGACCGGAGGTCTGTGTATATCTGCTTCTTAGTTGTACTGTCCTACTTGATTTCCCTGAGGAGGCATAGTTTGATGAATGCTACAAGTTAATTTTGTTGTATATAGTTTCCTAGCATTAATTTGAGGGGTATCAGATAGCCACGTGGCATGTACTACCCTGATTTCTTTGATAGTTTTCTAGAAACTGAGGATCAGAGGGATATACCTGTGCGGTTGACATAATGCACTTTCATCACAGCTCAACCTCTTCATTTGGTTTTCAGATGCTACCATCACTCAAAATGTCCACAAAGAGAACATGGAAAACAAGCAACCAACACCTAATAACGTCTTGTCAACTGTTCTCCAAGGACCTCCTTATTTGGCAACAGCTGGTCTCCCAGCCATGAGAACCAGGGATCAGTGTATGTTTGCTTATTCATTTGGACTATCCTACTTGGTTTTCATAGGCATGCCTAGTGCTCTGAAAGGGAGAAGGTGATTTTGTTGTATTATCTTTCATGAGCTGCATTTGAGTGTTCTCAGATGGCCTTCTGGCATATCATCTCTGATTTTATGAAATAGTTTTCTAGAAACGGAGCATCAGGGGGATATACCTGTGGGGATGACATAATGCACTTAATTCAAAACTAAACCTTTTCATTTCGTTTCCAGATGCTACCGTCACTCACAGTGTCCATGAGGGAAAGATTAAAAATGCTGAAGGAGCACCTAATAAAGTCTTCCCAACTGTTTCCCCTACACATATTAATATGGCAGCAGCTCGTGTTTCATCCATGAGTACCAGGGATCAGTGTAAGTTTGTTCACTCGGTGTACTGTCCTACTTGGTTTCCACATGCATGCATAGTGTAAGCAGGGAAGAATGTAGTGTTGTTTTCCTGTCTTTCCTGGCCTCAATTTTAGGGTTCTCAGATTACTAGCTGGTATATCTTTCTTCTGTATGAGATAAATTCCTAGATACTACCCATCAGAGTGGTATACCTATGTAGTTGACATAATGCACTTACCTCACAGCAAAAGCACTTTGTTTGGTTTCCAGATGCTGCAGTTACTCACAATGTCCGTAAAGAGAAGGTAAATAATGGCCAACCAGCAACTGATAACATCTTGTCAACTGCTCCACCAGGTCTTGGTAATATGGCAGCAGCTGGAATTTCATCCACGAGGACCAGAGATCTGTGTATGTCTGCTTCTTAGTTGTGCTGTCCTACTTGGTTTCCCTAAGCAGGCATAATTTCATGAATGGTAGAGGGTAACTCTGTTGTAAATGCCTTAGTAGCCTCAATTTGAGGGGTATCAGATGTCCACTTGGCATATGCACCCCTGCTTTTTCTGACGATTTCCTAGAAACTGATCATCAGAGGGATATACCAGTGCAGTTCACATAATGTATTTACTTCACAGCCCAACCTCTTCATTTGGTTTTCAGATGCTACCGTCCTTCAAAGTGTCCGTGAAGAGGAGCTGGAAAATAAGCAACCAACATCTAATAACGACTTGTTGACTGTTCTACAAACACTTACATTTTTGGCCACAGCTGGTCTCCCAGCCATGAGCACCAGGGATCAGTGTATGTTTGCTTATTCATTTGTACTATCCCACCTGGTTTTCATAGGCATGACTAGTGTCCTGAATAGGAGAAAGTGATTTTGTTCTATTATATTTCGTGAGCACATTTGAGTGTTCTCAGATGGCCATCTGGCATATTGTCTCTGGCTTTTTGAAATAGTTTCCTAGAAACTGATCATCAGGGGGATACACCTGTGGGCTGACATCATGCGCTTAAATCAAAACTTAACGTCTTCATTGTCTTTCCAGATTCTACCATCACTCACAACGTCCATGGGGAGATGATTAAAAATGCTGAAGCAGAACCCAATAATATCTTCTCAACTATTCCCCCAGCACTTATTAATATGGGAGCAACTGGTTTTTCATCCATGAGTACCAGTGATCAGTGTATGTTTCTTCACTCGATATACTGTCCTACTTGGTTTCTATATGCATGCACAGTGTCATGAGGAAAGAATCTAGTGTTGTTGCACTATTTTACCTGGCCTGAATTTTAGGGTTCTCAGATTGCTACCTGCTATATCCTTCTCCAAGTGATAATTTCCTAGATGCTGAGCATTTGAGGGCTATGTCTGTGTGGTTTACATAATGCAAGTAACTCACAGCTCAACCATTTCATTTGGTTTCCAGATGCTGCAGTCACGCACAGCGTCCGTGAAGAGAAGAGAAGTAACAGCCAACCGGTACCTGATAACGTCTTGTCAACTGCTCCACCAGGGCTTGGTAATATGGCAGCAGCTGGAATTTCATCCAGGAGGACCAGAGATCTGTGTATGTCTGCTTCTTAGTTGTGCTGTCCTACTCGCTTTCCCTAAGCAGGCATAATTTCATGGATGGTAGAGGGTAATTTTGTTGTACATACTTTCCTGGCCTCAATATTAAGGGTATCAGAGGGCAACTTGGCATATCCACCCCTGCTCTCTTTGATAATTTCCTAGAAAGTCAGCATCAGAGGGATGTACCTGTGGGGTTGAAATAATGCACTTACCTCACAGCTCAACCTCTTCATTTGATTTTCAGATGCTATAGTCAATCTCAATGTCCATGAGGAGAGGATGGAAAATGGCAAATCCGCAACCGCATAACACATAGTCAAATGTTCCTTCAGGGCTTACTAGTATGGCAGGAGCTGCTCTTCTGGCCACGAGTACCATACAACTGTGTATCTTCTCTTATTAGTTGGATTTTCCTATTTGATTTCAGTATATGCTCATAGTGTCATAAATGGGAGAAAGTGGTTTTGTTGTATTCTCTTCCTTAAGTGCAATTTGAGGGGTCTCAGAACACTGCCGTCGTGTCCTCCTGCTCCATGCAATAATTTATTAGAAGCTCTGCATCATAAGAGTATACCTGTGTGTTTAAATAAGGCATTTATTTCACAGCTTGACGTGGTCATTTTGCTTCCAGATGCTACCACGCCTCACAACATCCGTGAGGAGAGGATGGAAAATGCCCAACTGCAATTTAGTAACATCTTGTTAACTTTTCCACCAGGGTGTATTCACATGGCAGCAGCTGGTATTCTAGCCATGAGTACCAAGGATCTGTGTATGTTTGTTTATAAGTTGGAATGTCTCACTTGGTTTTCATATGTATGCATAGTGCCATCAAGGGAAGGAGGTTGTTCAGTTGTACCTTCTTTCGTGAGCTCAATTTGAGTGTTCTCAGATCGCCACCCAGCATATCCTCTCCTGCTGCATGAAATATTTTCCTAGAAACTGAGCGTCAGAGGGATATACCTGTAGGGTTACCATAATATACTTACCTTACAGCTCAACCTCTTCATTTGGTTTCCAGATGCTGCAGTCACTCACAATGTCCATGGAGAGAAGATGAACAATGGTCAAAGAGCACCTGAGAACTTCTTGTCATCCATTACACCAGGGCTTATTAATGTATCAGGAGCTGGTACTCCACCCATGAGTACCAGGGCTCAGTGTATGTTTCTTGGCTGTTTCTGCTTGGTTTCCTACTTGGTTTCCATAATCATGCAGGGTCATACATCAAACAAGGTCGTTTTATTATATTATCTTTTGTGAGCTCATTTTGGGAGGTCTCAGATAGCCACCTGGTATATCCTTCTGCTTAATGAGATCATGTTCTAAAAACTGAGCATCAGAGGGATATACCTGCAGGCTTGTTGAAATGCACTGACCTCACAGCTTGACGTCTTCTCGCGGTTTCCAGTTGCTACTGTCACTCATAATGTCCGTGAAGAGAAGATGGAAAATGGCCAACAAGCACCTGATAACATTTTGTCAGCTGTTCCACCAGGGCTTATTAACATGGCAAAAGCTGGTATTCCAACCGTGAGTAGCAATGATCTGTATATGTTAGCTTATAAGTTGGATTGTCCTCCTTGGTTTCCACATGCATGCATGGTGTCATGAAAGGGAGGAGGCAATTTTGTTGTATTATCTTTTGTGACCTGAATTTAGGGTTTTCAGAACACCGCCTGGCCTGTCCTCCTGCTTTATGCAATGATTTCCTAGAAACTGAGCATCGGGAATATACCCGTAGGGTTGACATCATGTATTTTTCTCACAACTCATCCTCTTCATTTGGTTTCCACATGCTACCATCACTCACAATGTCGGTGAAAAGAAGATAAAAAACAGCCAACTAGCACCTGATAACTTCCTGCCCACTGTTACACCAGGGCTTAATAATTTGGCAGGAGCTGGTATCATAGCCAAGACTACGAGGGATCTGTTTACTAGTTGTACTTCCTACTTGGTTTCCATATGAATGCATAGTGTCATAAAGAGAAGAAGGTGGTTTTGTTGTATTATCTTTTGTTAGCTTAGTTTGAGGGTTTTCAGATGGTCACCTGGCACATCATCTCCTGCTTTATGGCATAATTTCCTTTGAACTTAGCCTCAGTGGAATATACCTGGGGCTTCACATAATGCACGTACCTCATACCTCCTCCTCCTCACTTGATTTCCAGATGCTTCCATCACTCACAATGTCCATGAAGAGAAGATAAAAAACGGCCAACCAGCAACTCAAAACTTCTTGTCAACTCTTCCATCAGGACTTACTAATATGACAGGGGCTAGCATCCTAGCCATGAGTACCAGGGATCTGTGTATGTTTCCTTATAAGTTGTGTCCTACTTGATTTCCATATGCGGGCATAGTGTCATTACGGGAAGAAGGTGGTTTTGTTGTATTATCTTTTCTTGCCTCAATTTCAGGGTTCTCTGGTTGCCACCTGGTATATACTCATGCTTTATGGGATAATTTTCTAGAAACTGAGCATGAGCGGGATATACCTGTGGGGCTCTCATTATGCACTTAACCTCACAGCTCGGCCTCTTCATTTTTTTTCCAGATGCCACCATCTCTCACAATGTCCATGAGAAGAAGACGAATAATGGCCAACAAGCACCTGATAACTCCTCATCAGCGGTTCCACCAGGGCGTAGTAATCTGTCAGGAGCTGGTGCTTCATCCAGGAGTAGCAGGGATCTGTGTATGTTTGTGTATTGGTTGTACTGTCCTACTTGGTTTCTCTATGCATGCATAGTGTCCAGCAGGGAAGCAGGTGGTTTTGTTGTATTGTCTTTTTTGAGCTCAGTCCGAGGGGTCTGGTATCGCCACCTTGTATATCCTCCTGCTTTCTGACATAACTTCCTCGAAACTGAGCCTCCGAGGGATATACCTGTGGGAGTGACATAATGCACTTACCTCGCAGCTCAATTTTTCCATTTGGATTCCAGATGCTACTGTCATTCATGATATCCAGAAGGAGATAGAAAATGGTCAGACCCCACCTGATGGCTTCCTGTCAGATTCTGCTCCCCCAGAGCTTATAAATATGACAGGAGATTGTATGCAACCCAACACATTAGATTCTTTGTCTTACAACTGCACTAGTCTCAGCAAAGATAAGCTGCTTTACAAACCTGATAGTAACGAATTTGTGGTAGGAGCCCAAAACTACCGTGTCTCTGCAGGTGATTCACCAGTCACAGCAAGGTCTCCGGTGGAAACTGTGCCAAATACAGCACGAATATCTCCTGCTATGGCAAAGAAAGTTAATGATGATATAAAACATCAATTGATGAAAGAAGTTCGAAGGTGTGGGCGAAGTAAGTAGTGCAAGAATGTCTATCAATGAAAGCCTGAGAAGTCTCCCATTCTATGATTTAGAACACAATTATGCTTCCCCTTGAGCTCATCGTTTGGCTAAATTGGATCTGTCTGTAATTTAGCAGGGCTTCTATTTAATTTCACTGAAAATTTCAAATACATCTGCTTAGGTGTTTTTCTTTGTTAGTGTTCACAATAGTTTCCTTAGTAATATACTGATGTGATTTAAGCATTCAAAACACAAACGCTGTGTAACATTGTAACCCATAAAAAATGTATACTGCGGTAGTGGATGCAATGAGATTGAAGTATATTTCATTTTCATAATTTTAGAAATACTAACTTTTTAATACCTTCATATTATGAAAGAATTTTCATTTTGCTTGATGAAGTACAAGGATCTATGGAAGTCAAGAAACAACTTGTTAAATTTGCCATTAAGGAAGCAGCAAGGTGGGTGCCAAAAGGAAACTCTTCTATTGTTTTAAGCACTTGTGCCCAGTTTGGGACAGGAGCAGGAAGAAATCATGCCTTGTTCTTCCTAATCCCTGGCCCTCAGTCATAGTTCATGCTATTTCCCCAAGCATTTAGGTTGATATTTTCTTATTCTAACCCCTTTTTCCAATGCCATGGAGCCTTCCAAATTTATGATAATCTGGGAGTGGGTGTGGGCCCTCAGGTGACTCACTTGGTCTTTTTCTAGTTTGTATTTTCCATGAGCATGCATTTTCTATCTGCATGTACATTGTAAAGTCTGTTTTGTATCCACTACTACCTCTTACATATCACAGATGCCGTGGGTATCCTCTGGTTAATGGAATACCTCTTTCATTTCAGGCTTAAAAATTTTGCCTTAATTCAGCAACTCAAGAAGGTGCTAAAAGAGTAGATTCCCACTGCCATCTCAGCAAAGTTAAGCACATGAGAAAAAATAATTGTGTTAATGCAAATACCAAGGAGAAACAAGGATATGTGCTGTAAAGTGGAGTAGGTCATTGCTGAAGCTTCCTGTAATTTTGAAGTGAAGAAAATTCCCTTCCTGAAGCTAAGAAAAGATGGAGCTTTTGAAATTTAATAAATTTCTGTTAGTAAAAGCTAGACTTTTGTGGTTTGTTTGTTGGTTTATTCTTCCACTTGAGGAGGAATACGAGTTGATAAATCACCAATGTATTTAGTATTACGGTCATGGTTTCTGCATAGTTGTAGCCGGTATTTATAACTGCCTTCGTTCACTACCCATTTTTCATTCCCTTTGCCCTGAGATAGTATGTCATCTGGTCATGGTGCTTGACCTGGCAGGATGACTCAAACCTTCATCACTGAACAGTCTGAAGGACCATTAGATACCTGCCTGGATTGGGTTGCTGTACTTTTCCATTAAGTGTAATCAGAAAACATGGGAGGACTAAGAAGCTCTCTAGACACAGCAGACATACTCCTTTTTAGCTTCTGGTGTACTGCAATTAATCCCCCTTTGATCGTCAGGTTCATCATCCCAAGCCAGTGGATGACCCCCTCCTTTGCCTCTAGATGGAAAGTGATGAAGAGACCAAAATGGCCAGCTGGCAGTATGAATGTCTTTTCAATGGAATCACTGTTGTGTCCCTTGGTGAAAGCATTTCTTCCTTTGGAAATAAGACTTCTAGTTCAGCAGAGCCTAACGTCAGGAGAATAGGAAACGTTTTTGCTAGTGGGTCACTGGGGTATAGAGTATGAGTAGAGACACCCCCAGTTATACCCCTTGAATCTAGGACCAAGAATCCTGACTATGGGAAAGAAAGCAAACTGTGTTGGATGCAAATATACAGCAAACACTGCTTCCTAAGTGATTTCTCAGATCTGCAAGACATTGCCACCTAGCTTGCACTATAACTGAGTTCCACAAGTCCATTGCACAGTTCTGTTGATCCAGTCATCTTCAGATAATGTGGGACAGCTCGGGAGCCTGATTTGGAGTTCAAGGCCAATGTGGGTAAGACAGTACCACCTTAAAAAAAAGCTGATGGAGGATAAGGGAATATAAATATTAAGACCAGTGAATTCCTATGAGGGTGGGCCCATCGCTACACTTTATTATCTGTAAGTGCCTTGTGTGGAATACCCTGGTGGTAAATAAGGCATTTTTTCTAACTGCACAAATGTTGATTTTCTCAAATTACTGTGGGTGGAAATGAAGATCCATAGTCACTATACGTGTCTATTTGAGTAAGAACACAGCCCTGTCCCTTCTATATTGAAAGTGGTCCAATGTAAGCACCTGCCATCTGGTAGCTAGCTGATCACCCTGGAGACAGGTGCCATAGAAGAGACTCAGTGTTGCTCTCTGTTTCTGGCAGATTGTACACTCAGCAATGACTATGTTACAGAATTTTGTTCCTTAGTTCAGCTGAAACTGAGTTCTTGTCACATGACCAGGAAAGATTAAGTTCACGCACACATTACAGGGTGAGGAGGGGAATGTGTCAGTTGAAAAGGAAAATTAGGAAGGAAAGAACTCTCAGCAAAGCGAGAGGGAATGCTAACAGGCCCCCACCTCCCAGATTGTTTCTGTGCCATCACACAGAATCCGAAGAGACCAGGCTCCCCATTGCCACTCCTGCACGAGACACAACTTTCCCATGGCTCTACCCTCTTCCCCCGGGTACCCGGCAGCATTAATGAGAAAGACTCAGTTGGGAAAGGGCAAGCAAACAGTGACAATTCTTTTTCTGGGTTGTGGGTTTCATTCAGGACCAGCAGTCTGGTTTTTCAACCTTCAGGCCGTTTTAGGCTTGAAAGTGGAGTTTAGCCAGGGACCCTTGGCTGTCTGATGTCTCTATCGACTGTAGCCAGGTTGGCCTTGGTGAGTGGAAGTCCATGCCTCTGAAGCATAATCTGTATCCCTGTCACCTTGGCCACTTTGTGAGCTCATGAGGCTGTGACACAAGTGTTGGGGAGAGAGGCTGATTAATATCTAGATAATGGGTACCTTATCCTTCAGATTATTAAACTTCTGCTCTGCTGAGGTTACCCTTTGGTGAGAACTCTCATGAGACTCAAATTATCTTCACATTGAATGTCCACTCGGACAGGTCTGTCCACATATTTTTCCCCAGACCTCCTTGTCACAGATTTTCAATCATGTGTCCTCGAAGTCCCTAATCATTCGGCCAATAAATGAGACACAGCCTGTACAAGGATACACACTTAAAAGTCTGGCCATCTCTCCTCCACACAGGAGCACTGCTCAAAGTTCTTTCCTCTGGGAGGATTTCCCTTCTCCACTGTCCTTCAGGGCTATCCCAGTTGGTCCTGTCGTAATGCTGCTGCCCACTTCTGGCTTGCGTGGTTGGCAGGCATTATGAACGGACTGAATATGTGTGACCTCTGAGAATTCATACGATGAAACCCTAAATCCCAATGGGATGATATTTGGAGGTAGACTGTTTGGGAGGTCATTAGGTTTAGATGTGGTCATGATGGTTGGGTCCCTATGATGAGATTAACGCCCTTCTAATTAGAGAAAAGAGAATTTGTTCTTCCATGCCTCTTCAAAATGTAAGGATATAGCAAAGTGGCTGACTACAAGCCAGGAAGAGGACCCCCACCAGAATTTGAGCACGCTGGCATCCTGATCTTGGACTTCTAACCTCCAGAACGATGAGAAAGAAATGCCTGGTGATGAAGCCACCCAGTCTGTGGTATTCTGTGATAGCAGCTGGAGCTGACTGAGACAGCTGTAGTCTGATTCCCCAGATTCCCATCTCCCGGATACTCAATCAAGCACTAATCCTAATACTGCTATGGTGGGATTTTGCCGGAGAATTAAGGTGTCAAGTCAGTTAACCTTGAGACATGAGTGTGGTGTGGCTGGGCCAGACCTGGCAGCGGAATCCTTGAAAAGTAGAGCATTTTCATCACACAGGAGCAGAAGAAGAGCTAAGAGAGTCAAAGCACAAGAAGGATGTGACACAGCAGGCCCTCTTTGAGGATAAAGCAGTGCGCCCGAGAAGGTATAGGGTGGCTCTAAGCGTTTAAAGCAGTCCCTGGATGACAGCCAACCAAAACATGGGAACCACACTCCTACCACCTTAAGGAACTAGATCCAAATGAGCAATAACCTGAATAAGCTCGGAAGTGGATTATTCCACAGTCTCCACATTAGCACCCAGCCGGCCCATTTAGAGTTGGCCTTGGGAGAGACTCAGCAGAGAGGCCGGTTGAGCCTTCCTGGTCTTGACTTGCAGAACTGTGGATAATACACGTGTGTTGTTTTAGGCCGCTTAATGTTCTTCTAAAGCTGTTTCCTGCTGAGTGGGGCATTCTCCCTGCCTAGCCTGGGCCCTAACGTCTCTTCCTGCCTGATCCTACGGGGTGGGAACCTACACCGGTGGTCTCATGTGTAGTTCCCTGTGACCAGTAGAAGATTCTAATGGTTTAAAAGTACTCAGAGCTAGGGATATGATAAGAGAGCACTTACGGCAGGTGTATCAAGAGTACATACCAGCCGGAATTTATGCAGAAGTAATTATGCCAAATATGAGACTCACTGGGCTCATTTTTTGCATGATTTCAATGAGTATAGGGAAATTCTTGTGTCTGTTCCTAATAATGCATTAAAGTATTTATGGAAAATATATATTTATGTGAAGATAAACTGGGCATCAAGATAACAGGCAATCGAGACACTAGAAACTAACTAAAGATGGTTATCAACTATTAAAATACAAGACATGAAATGACATAAAACAGTATGCCAAGCACCAAGGGGCTTGTCACATGTAGATTACAAAATTTCGTGGAACTTTTTTTGTTTAATAATGTTTTCTGCCAAGTAGAAGCAGTTAATAAAGCTCTATAATTTTTTTAAAACATAAGGAGGCCAGGTGCAGTGACTCAAGCCTGTAATCCAAGCATTTTAGGAGGCTGAGGTGGGTGGATCGCTTGAACCCAGGAGTTCAAGACCAGCCTGGACGACATGATACGATGCTGTATCTAAGAAAATATATAAACATTAGCTACGTGTGCTGGTGCACACATGTAGTCCCAGCTAATAGAGTGCAGGAGATGGGAGGATCACTTGAGCCCAAGAGGTCAAGGGTACAGTGAGCTGTGATTGTGCCATGGCACTCCAACCTGGGCAACAGATCAAGACCCTGTCTCAAAAAAAACCCCCAATAACCACACATACAAGAAAGCAAAGCTACATTTGTTTATAGCAAGTGGAAGAAAAAATCTTTGAAAGTATGTTTCATGGAGGTGAAAGTTTCATAAGATAAAAGAATGCATTTCCTTGATTTGAAAACATTGGGAACAGAAAAGTAGAGAAGTTAGAAATGTCCAAATCACCAGCTAAGAATATAGATCTTACTTCAGATTATTTTGGGAAAACTACAATTCAAACAGAAAGTAAGATGTTTACAGATGTCCTAATTTCATAGTAATAATGGAGATATGACAAGGTAAACAGTGTTTGGAATCTTTACATGGAGAAATATTACTTCCTATGAATACATCTGATCTACAAAAGAAGCCACTGATGTAACTTGTAAATATTTGGTTGATAGGTCTTGTAGATTTTCACCTACAATAATTAGTTTGAAGCAGAACCTAGTATCAATACTTTGTAACACATCAATATCAGGTTTGGATCTTGTAAAACTGAGTCACTAATCTCCCTTTGCACAGTCTTATCCAAATTTAGCCCTAAAATTTTTATTAAACAATACCATTCACAGTGGCATCCTGCAAAAGGACTTTCGGTAAGCTGAGGTTGAAAAAAAATCACCTCAGATCATCATTTTGTCAAGAGAAATTGTCACACATGGCAATTCTTCTCACTGGAAATGAGATCAACAAAGTAGTATATTTTCAAAGTATGATGAGTTTGCTTCTATTAGAGCCAGAAAGTAAGATGTTAATAAATTCTATTTGGAGCATAAATAAAAATTCCAATTTAAAATAATGTTGCAGATGGGCCCAGTGTCTCACGCCTATAATCTCAGCACTATGAGAGGCCCAGACAGGCGGATCCCTTGAGTCCAGGAATTCAAGACCAGCCTGGGCAATGTGGCAAA